CCCTCTCAACCCCCTATCCCTCTCCCATGGACCTGTTGGTCTAAATTGAGTTCTTTGCACACATGAAAGGTTTTGCCACGATGACCCCCCTTTGTTTCAAATTTGTTTTCTCCCAAGTGCTCGCGGTCTCCGGGCGACTATCACTGATAAAATCAGGAGCCTGATTTGATGGACATTTATCTCATCCCCGGGTTCCTGCGCTGACCATTTCGCGCGAGTGGTCATCTCTGGCTCACGCGTCACCGGACCCGATCAGGGGCGACAACCTAGGCCGTTGATTGCGTTAACACGGGCCGAAGGGAGGTTATCGAGGAGTGACCCCTCGGGTGCTGGCGATTGACTTGTGAGGGAGTCTCAGGCAGGAACACGTTCTACCAACTTGACTGTTTTGTTTGAATTTGATTGAGCTGAGTCTTTATACCCAAGGCAGGAAAATGTGGGTTATTTCCGAAACAGAATTTATGGTTAATAAACCGAGTTTTCTTTCTAAAACGAAACAAAGAGCTAAAACCTGTCATCTCCGCCTCCCCCTCCCCCCCCCCGGCAAAAAACCACTACCCCATCCTTCACCCTGCTCCTCTTATCCCCAAAGACTTCATAAATAACACAGGAGTCAAATTTCTAAGACGTCAGAGCTAGGATTTGGACCAGAAGCCAAGGTCGTGGTCTGATATTTTATTACCTGAATGGACGGTATACCCGTGGTTATAATGTATGGGTTATTATTTTTTTAATGTATTTTTTTCACGTCCCCATCGATACAGTTTTGTTCATTTTGGAGGCGAGACTTCTATCCTGCATGCCACGATCAACCCAGGCTGAGACGGGTACAATATCGCAACTGACCTGAGAGACCGAGGCTCTCGGTACAAATTCTCCCCACACAGTAATCGAACTAGGGTCATCTGTTCTGTGTGCGATAGCGAAGTACCTGACCTCCACACCACAGACACCAGTGTGGCAGTAATAAATACACTGTGGTTGAGCGAGGGCAAAAGCGCTGGAACAGCATTATGACGAACTTGCAACTAAGATCACTTTAAAAGGAGTAGACCCTTAGTCGTATTTTATAATGAAATCCGCACAGTTTGATTTGACTGATTAACTTCCAACAGGTTTTCAGTTTAGGTTTAGTAAGTGTTGTAAGGCACTATCGGCAAAATTGGATCCTGCAAATGTCGAAGCACAGAGGTAAAAAAAAATGGTATAGGTTTAACGCCCCTATCAACACTGTTATGTTATTTAAGAGACTGGCTTAGGGGTGTTGCTAGAGAGTAATATACAAAGAAATATAAAAGTAGAGATTATGGCGATAAATGTTTGATATGACACACGGGAAACCCCCCCCCCCACAACATCTCATCTCCCGCCAAGCATCAGTCTGCTTTGTTTGCGCACATGTTTTTTGTTGTGCTCCTCAAACTTGCACGTTGAAGTTGAAATCATTTAAAACTTTAATGTGTTGAAAATAAAATTAATCATACATGTCGGGCATAGGTCATTAATATAGATCAGAGGTCACCATGAGGTCAGTTTCTCTGGCACTCTTCCATGCCGCCTTTTGGGAATGATACAACTTGGGTAATGTGGTTTTATTATACCCAGATGATGGCACTTAAGAGGGCTAGATGAACTGACAACTCGGTGACTCGTGTTTCATAATAATTGTGAGGCAGCGTGGTGAAATCAGGCGCTCGCCAAAATACAGAAATCGAGAGAAACAGGCCTTTTTTTTTGAAAGTTTGTAAATTTTTACAGAATTTTAATTTTTGGGCTCAACCTCTTAAACGTCCATATAAAAACACATTTCTTTGTGAATTTTACGAGAAAAAAACCCATTGATTAAAGGCACAAAATATGCCATTTTTCTGTTTTCAAGGACTTTTTAGCTTTTGGAGTTACCAAACATTTGTGGCCATTTTCTCGCTAATTTCAACCATGAAACCAGGCGACCGCAGTTCTTTCAGTCTGTCGCAGAGTTCTATAAGAGAAAGACGGATATTTATCTCTTTGGAAGCAAGGCAAATAAATTGGCTTTCAGATGATACCAATAACTCTATGTGTCCAAAAAGTTGATTCCACAGCGTCGTGACCCAATGGACCTTTTGTCATCAAAATAATGGAATCATTTCATTGAACTAGGCAATGAAAATCATAATATGTGTTTTATAGATGTAAAGTTCATGCATCACACTCTTTTTGGCTTTAATTTGAAACAATTATAATCTTTATTTTAACACAAAACATGCGCGGCTTCAGAAGTAAGACAAGGTAAGCAACCAGTAAAATAGGCTGTGCAAAAATGTACGAGTTTCTTCCCTTGTATGAGGACAACGAGGGGAGAGAGACACACAAAGAAATTACTGGGGGCTTTTTTGTTCAGTTACTTTTGTACAGTTAAATCCAGTCAGAAAACAAGTGTGCAACCGTACTGTCTGTAACAGGGACTTTATTTGTTTCTGTAGAGTGTTCATTTATTATTCTGCAGACTCAGATCATGACTCAGAGCATGACGTCGACTGAGTAGAAGCTGACAGCGCCGGCAATACTGCTCACTGCGGCCACCACGTTCTGCCCAGCGTCACTGATCCAGCTGGGGATAGAAAACATAGTAATGATATTATATCAGAAACGAAACCGTCCGTCTTTATGTTTTTGGAGTTTTTTGAGTTGACGTTGACATTGCACTTACCCCTTTACTTTTTATAACAAATAAGGACAAAATAAAAGCAAACTCTAAATCAAAGTACAACACAATCTTCTCTAAAATTGTCTCCTTTCACCTCCTTTCCTGCCCTGTAATAATGCTCGGTCTCTGCTTTGGTCTCATCTTTCTGCCCCCACCCCTCATCACCTCCTTTGCAGCTTCCTCTGGGCTCCTGACTCTTTCTGCAGCCTTTCTGCTGTTACTCCCTGGCTCCTTCTTACTGCTGTTTTTCAGCCACACCCCTGATCTTCTGGTAAGGAAAGATCTACACCTAGCCTTCTCGGACAAGGGCGAAAAATCTCGGAGGGCCCGTGAGCAAGTTGTGCACGTTAAAGATCCCTTGGTGGTCTAAAATCGATAAGAGTAGGCTTCGGTCGCCACCCGGGCAAAATTCAAAATGTCCTACTAACTAAAAATATTAGGTGTGTCCCGCGCCCTCATATGACCGTATGCAGTTGAGAGCGCCGTAAAACACTCCCCTCCCCCCCTCAAAAAAAAAAAAAGAAAAAAAGAAAAGGAGTAAACGACAACGTGAAGACCCTCCAAGAACACGGAAACAGAGTAAACGACAACGTGAAGACCCTCCAAGAACACGGAAACAGAGTAAACGACAACGTGAAGACCCTCCAAGAACACGGAAACAGAGTAAACGACAACGTGAAGACCCTCCAAGAACACGGAAACAGAGTAAACGACAACGTGAAGACCCTCCAAGAACACGGAAACAGAGTAAATAAAAGATGCCGAAATTACAACATGAAGATCAGCACAAACCAAATCGAGGTGATAAAACAATAAAACACAAGGCCCCCAAAACACCAGAGCGACAACTACACAATCAAACAAGTAAAATAGTTCAAATGCTAGGGAAGTGTATTTACCCACCGTGGAAATATAGACAGAGAAATAATAACCAGTTTAAAGGCCAAAGTTGGTTAAGACATTTACATCTTTTTGGAATAAATTTTGGCTTAATGATAGATGGCACGAGGAGACTCAAATCGTGAAATCTAAACTCTTACGAAAAACGAAAGAGGGTAAAATGCGAAAAAGTGTATGCGAAACCCCCCCCCCCCCATCCCAGTCAAAAAATCCCGGTGTGCAGTACTCACATGAGGTCTGTAATCCCCGGCTCCCCCACGGCGTCAGTGTCTAGCTTATAGCTCTCAGTCCACGTCAGGCCGGGACTGCCACGTCTTTCAAAGCCCTCAAACGCCACGTCAGGCCCCTGGGTGCTATTGCCGGTGATACTGAAGAAGTAAAGGCCGCCTACGTAGCCGTTGGCAACGGCCACAACTTGGGTACCGTTGATGTTTCCAGTGGCGATGGCTGTTGGGTTTGGACCCTGTTAGAAAGCAAGTGGTTTGGAAATAGAATAAGATAGTGCTTGCCAACCGAGGCGGTATTGTCGACTGGTGGACGATTTGGTAATTTTGGTGAGCGGCGGGGATCACTCGGTTAGTGACAGAATTTAATGTCGGAAATATATACATGTAAATGGGCGGTAGGGAAATTTAGCCTCACAAAGGTGGCAAAAGAGCGTGTTGGCTGTGAAATAATGACTTATTACGTAAGGTGTCTTCTCCCATTCACCCCCTCCCGCAAAAAAGGAAATACACCACCCCATCCCACACCCCTTTCTTCTAAAGTAAATGAGCTGTGTCTGGTACAGTACTGAATAACTCTGTTTGCTGATTGAAAACTAAATGGTCACAATGAAGCCACAGAGAAGCAATGAAAATCAGAATGTTAAATTATAGATTATCAGTAACAGTATTACGTCGTACTTAACATACTGCGATTCATTCCAATATCTAATTTGTTTTTCTCCTTATCACGTACCAGTCAATGTTAGATGAAGCTGTCTCAGCAGCAGTAATAATAAGAAAGAAACGCAGGACAATACAAACTTTTCTTCGCCAGCTGCGCGAGAAAAACATTTTGTATGTCCATCCAATGGATCTACGCGCGCGTGTGTGTGTGTGTGTGTGTGTGTGTGCGTGTGTGTGTGTGTGTGTGTATGTGTGTGTGTGTGTGTGTGCGTGCGTGTGTGTCTGTGTGTGTGGGGGGGGGAGAAAGAAAGAAAGAGAAACAAACAGAAAGATAGAGAGAGAGGGAGAGAGAGAGAGAGAGAGAGAGAGAGAGAGAGAGAGAGAGAGAGAGAGAGAGAGAGAGAGAGAGAGAGAGAGAGAGATTAAAGAGGCCGGACCTCTAAATTTGACATCACCGCTAAATTAAAAAATGCACGTACAGTGCTTTTTCTAAGGGCACAGCCACCCAATAATTACGAGTACAGTAGTAGCCAAACGTCGGACGATCAATGTTAAAAACAATCAGGAAACGACATATACAGTTTTTGGGACACCTGAATAAACTTTAGGGTCTTGAACATCTTGCTCTCACTGGCAAAATTGAAGGCAAACGAGGTAGGGGTAGGCCAAACAATCTACTTGGGGAACCTAAACAAATGTGTGACAGAGAAAGATCAGGGAAAGGTAGCTGGGTTTTTTTTAGAACATCCGAGCAAAGTATTGAATGGAGAACCATGATTGTCGATGTCTGTCGCTGATCTGGCTCTGTACGATGATGATGAGTAGCCAAACCACTAATCTACCGATACCACCAAGCATTTTGTAGAGCTAAGACTAAGAGTACTCACAAACATAGGAGATGTCCTGTCCGCATTCTGCGTCTGAGTGTGAGTGGCACTCGTGTAGTAATTGTTGTACATGGCCTTCTGGTTGTCCTTGACATTGGTGCTGGTGTAGAAGGTCTCCAGGAGGTCTCCGCTGTCGTAGACTCGCTGCATGGAAACAGCATCCATCAGGGACCAGCCACGTCCGCCGTAGGTGAGTAGGTAGTCGTAGCCCATTCTGGGAGGTGGGGACAGTTCTTTTAAAGCCTTATAGCTTTTGTTGTTTTTGTTCGCTGTCGTTGTCGTTGCTGTTGTTATTTATTGTTGTTGTTGTTGCTGTTGTTGCTGCTGTTGTTGTTGTAGTTATTGCTGTTGTTGTTTTTGTTGTTATTGTTATTGTTGTTGTTGTTGTTGTTGCTGTTGTTGTTGTTATAGATTTTGTTACCGTTTTTGTCATGTCTGTGTGTGGGTGACGGTCAGATGGATTTTAAGGGCAAAAGAGTCTGTAATAATTATAATTTATCTGTTGCACCATTCTCCGCCGTTGTTGCTGTTGCTGGTTTTGATGTTGTTGTACTCACTATATTCAAATAGGAAATGTGTAAGCAAAATTAATCTGTTTTAAATATTGCGCTCATCCCCTTATGTTGGCCCAACTAAAGATCAAGTGAGTTTAGCTGTCTAGTGATATTGTTTTTTGTGTTTTTTTTGCTTTATGTTTTTCTATCTTATCGTCAGGACAATAACTGAGTCAAATTAGGTATATCATTATGTTGTGTTTGTTATAAAATACAATCTTATTGGCAAAGAAAAAGACAATAAAGATACGTGTACTGAGCTGCTGAGTCATATATATTTTAAATTGAGATTTTGTATCCCAGGTTCTTTAGTTATAGCTCTGCTTGGCCTTTTTCAATTGCACATTTAAATTTAATTGTATTTCTTAATATTGAGCACACACAGAAGCTAAAACTTTACTGTACAAAAAATAGACGCAACGAAATTAAACCAGTTTTTTTTATCATTATCAAACTTACTGCAAGGGGTTGTAACCGTCTTGAATAGATTTCAGTCGACTGAATCGCATACGGGCTGGTGGAGAGAAAAGGGAGTTTTTTTCATAAGGAAGGCATTGCAACTGAGGTCACAAAGGTTTTACGCTGTATGTTAAATTGTGAGGTCGAATATACCCTGGACGCATAACGCCACAAAACACCATCGCGAGAAAGCAAACGCTTTAAGAATAACAATGTTCGACCCGGCTTTATTCACACACTCTATGTGAACTGTAAAAAAAGAAGAGTTGAAGCAGACCACCCAAAAAAAAAAGATCTACAAAGACATCCTGAAAATTATGTTTCTGAAGTAAGTCTAAATAAATCCCTTGGCAAGGGAGAGCCTAGCTCTTGACAGACCTGGTTGCATGACAGTAATTGCAGAGGGAAGCAAAATGATTGATATTATTAGGCTTCACTAAATAGAAATTCTGTTAGAAAAGGGAAAAGCCCGATAGGTGCGCACTTTCACACGTGAAAATGAAGCATTTAAAAGCTCGAAATGTGGCACTCTTCTCCTCCAGAATTGGTTTCATCGGCTATAGCAGAAGACACGCGTCATCAGAATAACAATTTATACCACTGTTGAACCTCTGTAAGACGGCCACCCATTGTCGAGGAGAGAACGTTTTAGATAATTTCTCGTGTTAGGCAGGTGTGATCAAAATGCGTAGGACTGCCATAAGACTTATCAAAACCGGACTTTGTTTACTTTTTGAAAAAAGGGGTGGTGTGGGGGGGGGGGGGGGGGGGGGGGAGTAAAAGAGGGTGATAAGAATATTGATGTTGCTGTTTTCTAATTTGTATTTTGTTTACATACTTTACTGATGATTTTATGCAGATTGAAGTAAAACGAAATGTGAGGGGATTGGGGGGGGGGGGGGTTGTTAGTGTTTTACGGCACTGGCAACTGCATAAGGTCATGTGAGCGTACGGGACACATTAAACTTTTTAAGTTAGTAAAAAAATTGTGAATTTTGCCCCGGTAGCGGCCGAACCCTACTCTTATCGATTTTAGACCACTAAGGGATTTTTAACCAGGGCAACTTGCACACAGGCCCTCCGAGATTTTTCGCCATTGTCCAAGAAGTCTAGGTGTCGATCTTTCCTACAAGAAGATTCGGGGTGATGTTGAAAGACAGCAATAAGAAGGAGCCAAGGGGTAACAGTAGAAAGGCTGCAGAAAGAGTCAGGAGCCCAGAGGAAGGGGCAAAGGAAGTGAGGGGGTCGGGGCAGAAAGTGGGCAACGAAAGCAGACGACAGAACATTGTTCATTGTTGAGAGCAGAAAAGGAGGTGAAAGGAGACAATTTTAGAGACGAAAATCTTTCGGCTGCTACCCTAATTCGAACCCGGGGCCTTTGAATGAGAGGCCAACACCTTAACCTCTAGGCCACGAGAGCCCTCAACGAAATGTGTCAGACGGGGAAGATCGGGCACCATGAGAAAACCACATTAGTCGCCAACACTCGGAGAACGAGCCATGCTTCTATGGCAATCTCATGTTGACGTCCATTTCTTCGTACGTACTGGGTAAACAGTGACCCCTTATTTCACTAAGGAAAAGTTTACCACAACAGTAAGCCGTAACTTCATCTTTTGCAGTGAAATCATTAACTGAACCATAACCAACAAAGAAAGGAGACTTACATGTCACAGTGGTGAGGTTTGCCTGGAGTTCAGCGGCCGTGTTTTGAGTCACCATGCTTGTGAATGCTGAAGTGGAGAACGGAAAAAAAGATCAATAAATAAGCAAATAAGCAAATAAATACATAAATATATAAATTTAAAAAATAATAAATACACACATAAATACATAAATAAATAAATAAATAAATAATAAATAAATAAATAAATAAATAAATAAATAAATAATATTTTAAAAAATAAATAAAGTGTCTCACTGTCTGAACAGCATAGGAAATTATGTTCAACATGGGTAAACCTAAGAACTCAGAGAATCTTAGAGAAATCTGTAAAACTTTGGGCTGTGCAGCAGTGTTGTATGTTACAGAAGATAAGTAAATCACAACAAAACCCGAAAAGGCACCAGTCTACATAATTATGGCATACAAAGACGTATAATTGGTGTAATTAAAAGAATATATTCTTTTTTAAACCTTGCCTCCCCCTAAATCTGATCCCTCCTGCCATCTACTTCCTCCTAACTACCTTCCTCCCCATTCAGCCTCAACTCGTCTGCTTCCCCCTTCTTCCCTAACTCGTACTCCTTGTGCTACTCCTCCTCTTCGTAATCATCATCATCATCATCATCATCATCATCATCATCATCATCATCATCATCATTCGTTTTACAACAGAAAAAGTACTACAGACATGAATACGGCTAGGTATAATTTAATAAAATGATCACCACCATCGTCATCATCATCATCATCATCATCATCATCATCACCACCACCATCATCACCACCACCATCATCATCATCATCACCACCACCATCATCACCACCACCATCATCATCATCATCATCATCATCATCGTGGACTGCAGAAAGACCAAATAAAATGGTGGCGACTTGTGCACAAAAGATCATGCACACATCATCATCATCATCTTCCTCATCACCCTCCTCATTACCATCATTATCAACAACAACAACAACAACAACAACAACAACAACAACAACAACAACAACAACAACTACAACAACAACAACAACAACAAAATGTCATATTCCCCCCCCCCCCCACCTTGTTTCCACGACCGTCCATCGGCACTCTCGTCGAAGTTACACAGAGTGGTAGACCCGCTCCTCACGGAGTACTGTTTGATCCTCCCGCCGTCCGCTGTGGCCAGCCAGGTCTTGTTGGCGAAGGTGAAGGCCACGGCGTGCCCAGGCTGGTACAGACTGTTTATGACGTGTGGGTTTTGGTTAATACCTGGTGCAAAAGAAAAGGATAATAATTTTATGAAAAATACATACAAAAGTGATGGATTGGGAAAATAATATTATTCTAAAGGTTTCCATTGTTACATTTTGCACCTTCTTTTTAAAAGAAAAAAAATGTATGTCTGCTGCGCTGAGGTCAGCCAGGTCCTAATGACGAATGTATTAGGCCATGAGGTAAAATCTTTTCAGCAAGAATTTTTCTTATTGGCTATACCAGACGCTACTTAATCATTGTAATTTATTTCTCGTCTTTGTTTCTCTGAACTCCTTAGCAGATACGCTGGTCATCGTCAGAAGTTGACAGACGAAATATTCCAGAATGCTTTGCAACAAAGGAATAGATATAAAAGTAACGATACTGGAAAGCTAACAGTGTTGTGAAATGATTCATCGCGCTGGCAGCCAAGGGCACATAAGGAAAACAGCGTCTCTAGAATTTGCCAAGCAATCCGGTGTGGGGGTCTTCTCTAAGAGTTAAAGTAACCTTCATAAAATAAATAATGTCACAAACCGCCATCTTCATAGCTGGTGTCCATAGCCATCTGCTCCCAGCTCTTCATGCCCAGATTGTGGTAGGTCATGGGAGCAAACGGATCTTTGAGATCCATTCTTCCGATGGCGTTGTTTGTCTGTAGAGAGACAAATATTGACATTATATACATATTTTTGTATGTTTAACGTGGAGTTAAACATACAATTTTAAGGCTATCCTTCCGTTTTGCTTGGCCCTATCGGGGACGGAATTTAAATTTGGGGTTTTTACCTCCCTGACTACCTCACTTGGTTGAAAAACAAGTCAAGTTTTTCAACCAAGTGAGGTAGTCAGGGAGGAAAAAACCCCAAATTTAAATTCCGTCCCTGATATGGCCAAGCAAAACGGGAGGATAGCCTTAAAATCTCCCAAAGACAATCAAAAGTTCAGAACGCCACCTTGGGTATTGCAACGTGTAAAACCAGAACAAACCGCTCGGATGCATGCCCCTGGCTGTAGGAATAGGAATAGATTACGAACAGCAGGCCAAAGAAACCAATATACAAAATGATACAAAGCAGTCATGATTGTGTGGAGTGTAAGCTTCGGGTTTTTGTGATCAGTACGTTGTTGTTTCTGATTGTCACAACTCATCCGTAGTGTGGCAATTAGTCAACGGGAAAGTGCTGCAGCAGTAAAATTATAACGTTATAGATTATGCGGTTTACGTCAGTAAAAGACTTTAACGGGAATTATCGAGTCGCAGTTATATCTTTTAGCCATGGAGCATTGTGGTTATATTTGTCTTCGAAAAACAAAAAGGAATGATACTTAAGAAGTTGAGTGTAGATCCGTTTTTCCCATCATGAATGACATTGCTTACTTGTGAGCCATTTTGTATTTTTAGTTCTTCAGTGAGGATTACATGGTTAGTGACAATTATCATGCAATGCCCCACTTAGATATGCATCGCTGTCTCAGAATTACACAGTTCTATCTGGCATTTTTGTACATTTTGAGTTACTAAGACTAAGAGGTCAGGAATCGAATGCTCTATCTGCTCTTTCAAAATCGTAGAATTATTTTGAGTCGTTGTCAATAATATATGCAAAGAGTTGCATTAAAAAAAGCTTGAAATATTGTGAGACTCAATATTTTACGTCCCATTTCTCAAAACTAGGTACTAAGTACATAGAATTTTGTAGTTTTGAGGTAGTGACATGTAGGTGGGTGTTACGAACATGTTTTTCTTTGAGCAGCGGCTAAACTAGGCACTGGTTACAAAAAGAGTTGCCACTCTACGTCAACTTGAATTACAAGATTCTATCTGCTCAGTACTTAGTTTTGAGAAATTTGACGTCAAGACTTTTGAGTTTTACAAGTCAAGTTTTTTTCGAATGCAATTCTTTGAATATCTTGACAACGAATCAGAATAATCTTACAATTTTGTTAAAGTAAATAGTACATAAAAATTTAGCTTCTGGCCTCATAGTCTTAGTAACTCCAAACGGTCACAAATGTCAGATATGCTCTGTAATTCTAGGGTAGCGACTAGCCTATATCCATTTTATTGTCACGATTTCAAACAAGTTTATTTTTCATTATCATTTCTTACACCACACAAATTGTAACATCACGCAGTGGTAGATACGTACCTCTAAAAACAAACAAAGAAAGATACCACAAAAGTTTTTTACCATATAGTACGAGGTTACTGTTAGAATAAACATCAATGTTTATTGTTTTTTCGAGTCTTGTAATTAAATTCCGGCATATGGTTGAATGATTCATCTGATGTGATAATTATGTACTTTTGTCTGTTTTATTTTTCTTTTCATTGTGCATTTTAATGAGAGTAATGTACAGTTTAAAATTTTATGCAAATGTTTTTACGGTCCTGTGCAGCCCAAAAAAATCTCTCTGCAACAATAACGTATTATCCGCTATTTTATCTACTCCTATACCTGGAAGAGCATGTAAGCCACGTTGTTCTCGTCCACGGTCACGTGGACAGGCTCTATGTCTTGTACGTGTGTGGAGACGGCGGTGTGAGAGCCTGAGTCACACTTCGTGAACACCTCCCTCACACCCGCGCCCTTTATTGCTCCCTCGCTGGAAAGATAAAGTGGACGACATTTTAATCATAATAGTAATAGTTGTAGTAAAAAATAAAGAGATCTTCCAAATAAAGGCTTCTGATGATGATAGACTAACTACGTTTCAGATTTCATTTTTTTCTTTGGGTGGGCGGGGTGGGGGATGGGGGGTTCTCAGCCACTACAGACACTGCATTTCTTTTTTAATTCGACATTTTGGGCTCAGTACATCTGGGCAGGTGCCTGACGAAAAAGGGAACAAATTATAGTATTTGCAACCCGAGAAAGGGACAATGGTCGAAAAGACGTCTTGTGAAGTGATTTGTTGGGGGGGGTGGAAAATTGGAAGAAAGTGTGGATTCATTTTTTTTAAAAATCCCTTTCCCATTTATATGAGAATGACGCCATCTGATTTGTGTTTAAATGTGTATTAAGTGCATACTTAGTATGACATATAACTGGTACAGATAGATATTCAAGGATTTTAGATGTAAGTCAATGATCTGAGAGCAATGATGATTAATTTTTAGAAATAATGGTTGGGATGAGTGATGATGTGGGATTGCTTTTAAGTAATTCAAGAGTTAGTCCTATCTTCTGCTGCTCTAATGAGTCTCCAGGGACGTGGGCACCCTTTATCCCGTTCCCTACAAGAACCATCTTTAATGTCATCGTGACGTTCCGAAATAGTAGTCACAGTCTCTGCTAAGGTGACATTGTTAGTGTTAGTCTATTCTATCGCCCCAAGACAAGTGTCGAGAGGATCTAAGTAGGAAGGCAATACAGTGGCATGTATGTTGGGGTATTCGTAAGCGGGTTGTAGGCAGTAAGTTGACAAACAGATTATGAACTTTAAAAATGTACAGGATCATCGAACCCGAGTCGAGAGGGTACAATATACACCGGACGGTGTAGATTATTAGCGCCGTGTTTCAGTAGGTGTAAAACAGACACGCACCTATTTAGAATATGCATTCGAACTCGCACTTACCGTCACCTTAGAAAATCATCTGTACAAACGACCACTTGTCACTTCCTCTCTTGGGTATTTTTATTCCTATAATATTATACTTACATTACCTAATTGTGTTGCAACTGTCGTTAAACCCTTACTATAAACTAGATAGTATAATGACACAGTCCAAGCCGTCTACTTGTCTAAGACAACCACTTTGCTTCTCAACAATTCTGCTGTTTGAATTAGAAACCTTGATTTTTTTTTTTATGAGGTCGGCCCCTATTGTCAAGACAACAGTAGTTTATTAACTTGTCACTCTCTGTGATGTTTGTATTGTTTGAATAGTCAAGGGATAGAGATTACACGTGGGTGGTTAGAGGGTGCCCCTGGTAGGTCCTACTTCTAAACTTTCTCTCTGTTGTTTCTCTCTGTCTGTCTGTCTTACTTTTTCCCAGCACTAAATGACCAGTATTGTGTCGATATGCTTCTCTTTACTCAAACAAACAAACAAACAAACAAACAAACAAACAGATGAACAGGAGATTAAAAGACCAAACTAAATTTATGATAGAAATAATTTGTGTACATTTTCATTTAAATCTATTAATCATATTTTTATGCTGTAGATTATTGTTCAGATTCGCAACACTTGATTTTCCGCTCAAAAAGCAGAACAGGTAGCCATCTGGAACAATTTCGACTCAACGTGGGAGTACAATGTCAACTATAATAATTTACTATCACCATAACTGACTACAGCCGACCTGAATGACGCAGACGGGCTATGTCAACCCTGAGTCCAAAGCCTTTTTCCCACTCAGCCCGTGTTGGCATTGACAGGCATGGTAGAAGCGTACATTCTGAATGACCTAAATTATTAACTTTGTAAACTTTTCCCCCTTGTTTTTCTTGTTTTGTTTTGTTTGTTCGTTTTTTCCCCTCTTTTTTTGTTTGTTTTTTTAGAAAGGGGGCGGGGGGCATAAAATCACTTACATTAAAATAAAGAACCGACCTGAAAGGAATAGACCTCCTGTCGACATTCAGACCAAAGCTTGGTATGAGGATGTCTACCGCAGGCCTCGGGTCCTCGAAGACGCCGTTGATCGTGTGCACCTTGCCCATGCTGGCGACGACCAACTCATTGCAGTAACTGTTCCAGGCTATAGATTTGGGGTCGAATCCTTCCACTGTTGAGGTGCAAGGATAGAAAGAAGAGATGGGATTAGAGGGGAAAATGGAAATGAAAGGGGGGAAGGGTTAACGGTATGTTTCTGTATGTATGTAACGCGCTTAATGTCATTTTTTAAAAAATGGTTGATTTGACAGACAAGTGAAATTTACTTTTGGGACAGACCTCGTAGATACATCGAGTAGTATACAAACTCAGTTTTATTCTGCTTTTGTATCGGCCACGATCTACTCATTCCTCAGTTTATTTTCCATTCCACTTGCATTTAAAATTGGCAAAATTTAGAGTAAAAACGTGTCAACTCCTAGCTTTTAATTAATTTTGAATGCGCTATAAAGTGTGTAAATCGACACATAAATTGATGGGGGAATCCAACCTGTGGTCACAGTCTTGAGGCGGAGAAGGACCTCCTGTGGGTCGGTAAGCAGCTGGTAAAAATGTACATGACCTCTCTCACTCAGGTCCTTAGATTCAAAACTGACGGAGAGGAAATCTCGGCCCATACCCCCACGGCACACCTGGAAAAAAGTATCAACACATAAAAGTCAGCACATCCTAGACTGGGTTATCTCTCCTATTGAAAAGAACTGTGTGAAAGGCATAAACGTTCTGGACAAAGACATTTCGGATCATTACCTTCTTATTGTTGACTTGAACATCAAAAGACCAAGGAAAGAAATAAAAACAGTTAATTTCCGGCATCTGAACGATATAAATTTACACCAGTTTCAATGTGACTTTCGTGATGCTCTTGCTATTAGTTCCCCTTTTAATATAGAAACCCTCAATACCATCATGAGGAATATTTTAGATGATCATGCTCCAGTTAAAAAAGGAAAATGATCTCATCGACCTGTTGGTAGGTGGTTTAATTTAGAAATAAAGGGTGCAAAAAAAAAAGAAAAAAGATAAGCGGAAAGAAAATGGAGAAAAACACGACTTGAAGTGCATAAGGGAATATTTATTACTATGAAGAATTCTGTTAGTAAAATGATTACCAAAGCCAAGCGTACTTTCTTTTTGTCAAAATTTGAAAATGTTAAAACTTGTAAGGAACTTTTTGATGTCTCTAGTGAACTGCTTGGCAACCAAAACAGAACAATATTACCCCCTGGCACCAATAAAGATCTTTGTAGTAGTTTTTCAGACTTTTTTTCTTAAAAAATCACCTCCATCAGACAAGAGCTCGAAATAATGTGCGCAATTGCCCCAAATTACCATCAGTTTAAAGGGCTAGTCATCGATTATTTTACTCCAGCAACGGAAGAAAAAATCAAAAAGATCATATTAGATAGTCCATCAAAAAGTTGCGCCTTAGACCCCATGCCCATCAGCCTCTTAAAAAAATGTTTGCATGAACTTCTTCCACATATCACCCAAATTGTAAATGATTCTCTCCTCACAGGCACAGTACCAAATTGCTTTAAGACAGCACATATTAGACCCCTTTTGAAAAAATCTGGACTTGATGAAAAGGACTAAAAATTTTTTAGACCAGTTTCAAATCTTTCTTTCCTTTCCAAAATTCTGGAAAAAGTTGTATCTAATAGACTGTTACATCATATTAAAGCAAATAATCTTAGCGAAGTCTATCAGTCAGCATATAAGGCACACCATAGTACCGAGACAGCGTTACTTAGGGTCTGTAGTGATATTTTGAAATATATTGATGAAAAAAAGGTATGTCTTCTTACTCTTTTGGACCTTTCTGCTGCATTCGATACCATTGATCATGACATTTTACTCGAGAGATTAAATACTACTTTTGGCATAAAGGGTACTGTCCTGCGATGGTTTGAGTCATATTTTAAGGATCGAACACAAGCAGTTGTGGTTGGAAACACGTGTTCTAATAATGTTTTGCTTAGATGTGGTGTTCCTCAGGGGTCTGTTCTTGGACCTGTCTTGTTTACAATGTATACACAACCTATTGCTGATGTTTTAAGACAAAATGGCATGAATTACAATCTTTATGCTGATGACACTCAAATTTATAAGTCTATTGATTTCGATCAAATACCACTGTTAGTCGACTCTACTGAACAATGTACTAGAGATTTAAAAATATGGATGACCAGCAATAAATTGAAACTAAATGATGACAAGACGGAAATAATGTTGAGTGGAAATACAAAAGCCATTAAAAACCTCCCAGAGCTACAAATTGATATTAGTAACCATACCATTCGTTCAAAAAGAAGTCTTAAAAATCTAGGGGTTCAGTTGGATTATGATATGTCTATGTCCTCCCAAATAAGCCAGCTCAGCAAAAGTATTTACTTTCAGCTTAAGAAAATTGGCAGTGTAAGAAATTATTTAACTAAAGCAGCTGCCAAGACTCTTGTAACAACACTCATTTTATCAAAGTTAGATTACTGCAATGTTATTTTGTCCGGTTTGACATCCGAAAAACTATCAAAGTTACAAGTACTCCAAAATCAAGCAGCAAAATTGATAATGAAACAAAAGAAATCAGCCCACGTAACACCAATTCTGAAAGAACTACACTGGCTGCCAATAAAAGAAAGGATTAAATACAAAACTGGCGTTCTCTGATTTAAATGTATAAATGATAGTGCACCTTTTTATCTTAAAACATTCCTGGAATTATATAATCCACCTAGAGCCCTTAGATCAGCCTTTGACAATCTAATTCTTAAAACTCCAAAACAAAATTACAAAACATACGGCGAGCGTTCCTTTTTGTTCTTTGGTCCCCAGGTATGGAACGAACTCCCATATAAAATAAGATCTGCCCCAACAATTGCCATTTTCAAAAATCAGCTGAAGCATTTTTTATTCACAAAAGCATACCTGTCATAATGATGTACTGTGATATATATGCATGTGTATGCCAGACTGTGAGACTGAAGAAATAGCGAGTGAAAATGAGAGAGAGAAAAAGAGAGGGATAGAAAGAGAAAAGAGAGAGAAAAGAGAGAGATAGCGAGAGAGGGAAAGAGAAAGAAAGAGAGAGATAGAGAGAGAGGGAGAGAGAGAGAGAGCGAGAGAGAGACAGAGAGAGAGAGACAGAGACAGAGAGAGAGACAGAGAGAGAGACAGAGAGAGAAAGAGAGAGAGAGAGAGAGAGAGAGAGAGAGAGAGAGAGAGAGAGAGAGAGACAGACAGACAGACAGAGAGAGAGAGAATGGAAATGTTTTTCTATCTGTATAGAATTAATGTTTTAATGAATGTTTCTAGTTACTCACGTTTCAACTTTATTTTGACTGTTCGTGAATTTGTATTGCATTGTATATTTTTAGTGAACACATTTTCAACCTCACTGCGAGACTGTTTTTCTGGTATAAAATTTTACACATATGCATTTATATTATATGTATAATACTTTGTTTTACGTACACATTTGTGTCGATTAATTTTTAAGATGTGATGTCTTTTTCATTGTAATGCGCATTGAGCATCTTTTAGGAAATGGAAATGCGCAGTATAAATGCTATTTATTATTATTATTATTATTAAAAATAGATGATAAGTCAACTTCAACTTAAGTATAAAAAATTAATAATATTATTATACTTTTGTTTGATTACATTAGAACTATTTTTCTGTGTCATGGTGTTCCAACAAACCAACAGTAACTCGGGGGAAATGAGTATTATTTTTTCGGACGTTCATTTTTTCAGACAGGAATGGCGGATTTTGCTAAAAAGAACATTGTTAGGCGGTTTGAAGAATACTTATTACAGTCTATGACGACCACCAATTTTCGATGAGAAAAATGACCACCTGAAACAGGTGAATGTCGTACATGTTGTCATTATCATGTTTAAAAAAAGTTGTGGGAAGTGGCCGTTTATACAAGTGATTGTCCTATGCTATTGTCCGTCAGAGCGAAGATGACTACTTTTAACGTTAGTATTATGTCCTTCAAAGCTAATGTTTACAAGTTTGGCCCTTCAAAATTAGCATGGAGCGAGAAGAGAGAGGTACGTTCTAGAATTTTTAAAATGAAAAAAGAACATAAGAATTGTTTTTTTCAGGAGCAGATTTGAGCTTTCAAATTCAGGATGGCACACTCTTAGTATATAGATGATTACACTTATTTTCACATTCTTTGACATGTTATTTCCAAATCAAAGAAAGCAAAAACTTCAGAAAACGAGAACATAGTAGTCTTTATGTCACGAAAAGAGCCATACAAATACAATAGAACTATCCATGAGAATACAGATACAAGTGTAACTATGTTAGGTTCTTCCTTTTATCAACACTTATAATCTATCAAAACACAAAACCTAGATCACTTGCCTTGACGTCATTAGGCAGTCCTTGGTTGACGCCGTCAAACTTGATGACCCGACCGTGGTTGGGATTGGTAAGGCTCTGTCTCATATCTACTATATTCATCACATCTGCATTGTGACCTGTCGAGGGATTCAGTCTTTGTTTCAGTTGGTTTAGCGTTAAGTTTAGCTATCTTTATAAGACAACACTGTGCCAGTAGTTCATAAAAGGACCTCCACACACCCAGGGATTTCACCCCAAGTCTGCCCACGAACTCTCCAAATCCGTCCAAAACCTCATGCATGCGTGGCCTATTTCAAGAGGCCGAGCGCGTGGTAAAACATTTAGACTGCGCCAAATGTTTTTCCAATGGACTTGGGTAGAGTAAGATGGTGGACTAAAGATTATATTATAAATTGTTCTACCTGAAAATATTCATCAGAGCCAAATCTACCTTGAGAAATCATACGTAAAGCCATGCCAGTTTGGTGTTAAATACTTGTTTTACTTGAAGAAGACAAAAACACCTAGCTCCTGTGACGACAGTAAAAACAAAGCAGACATACAGGAAGACATCCCCAGATGTGACTGCTGCGTGTATTAAAAAAAAAGATACCCAAGACTAAGACCTAAAACAATGTGTGTTGCTTGGCTTGTGTCCACTGGCTCGTGCGCATGTGGGCCGCTTTACATGACAAGTCATTTCTGCATTATCCATGTACCCTATATCGTTTACAATAGTGATTTACATACAAATCCGTTTCCATTCTTGGGCTTTGAAATTCGAAATGAGTTAGTTGCATGTTTTCACTATTAATATAATTCATGAACATATTATAAAAGACAGAAGCTGACGATAAAGAAAGCGACTTTCGTTTCCTCTGAAGATATTCCCCATGAACACATGAATCCACAACCTGTATTTAGTCTTAGCAGGGGATGTGAAATTGGGGAATGAGCCTTGCCCTTACACAAGCATTAACCAGACAGTTCAAACAAAATAATACGGTTTGAATTATTGTAATCAACATGAGCACTATTATCTTTCTATGCGTCAGCGGGCTAAATACATTTTGTTACTCAATAGCCGGTTGCAATTTTAGAGACTCAGCACCGGCGTCTATGGTGTTACAGTTAGGTTCTTCATTGTAGAACGCAGGAAACTCAAGTTCGATGCCCAAGTTGCGAGAATATAACGAGTATCTCAGTCTTTCTGCCCGGATGTTGTATCTCTTTCAGCTCCGGCTGGCCGTCGAATGCAGGGTCAGAAGCCGTCTCTTAAATGGTCTAAATTGTGTTGATTTGTGCGTGTGTGTGTGTGGGGGGGGGGGGGGTAAACACACCTCACATGCCTTAACACAAAATTAGGGACTCACCTACGACATAGAGAAGCTTGTTGACAGGATCGAAAGCAGCTTTGTTAGCAGTTCCTGCGTTCAGGACATAGGCTCCATTAGCGTCTGGCAGCTTGACAAAGCCTTCAGGCCGGAACACAACACGTGCACTGACCCCAGCAGTCAAGGTCAAGCACGTGAGCAGGGCACAGGCAAGCATCCTCATTGTTATCTGTGCAATTATGATTGGTCCAAGTTTGAAGGAAAAAGAAGACCGTAGAAATGTGCTGGCTTGAAATGAATTTAAAATTTGGAAAACAGAAATTGTCTAGGTTGTTGGCTTTGTTGTTTTTTAAAGTCTGGAGAGACAAACAGAAGTTGGGTGTAATATTTCGGGTATGACGTCAAGTATTAAGTGGTTAACACTGGTTTCAGGACGGAGGGGGTAGTTGAGATTGAGGTGTAAAAGTTTTACTTAGTTCAAGTAAGAATTTTACGACGCTTGCTTCATAGATTGGCCATGAGTGATGAAGGAAGGAAGGGATTTGGTTTTGATTGGTGACAAGAAATGTTACCCAAAGGACATCAAAACTTGGAATATCAAGATTATACTACAAGAACAGCCAGATGACAATGATGACAAATATACATACGTTCAAGATACCAACACTGTAAGCGTTCTTCTAATGGTGGAATAGCACTTAGCATAATATTTATGAAAAAATATCTGGCTTTTTTATTCAGTGTACCTTCTTTCCTTCTTCCTTCCTTTCTATGTGCTCTCGTCTTTAAGACAAGTGTTTTCAAATTACAATTTAGCAGCGTCAGACAAATACTGCAAATGATAAGAACTCATCATCGTTCATCAACATATTCACGAGTATCAACATTTGGAAATGGGTCGTGTAATTGTTTCGAAATTTATTATAATCTGCTTTTGAATAGGGATATACGCTAAATGTGTACTATCTATGAATCGATCAATATAACCACACCACAATAAAGGGTGGAATTAAATGATTATGAAAACGTTCTCTTATATCATTGAACATTTGGAATATTCAATCGTACTATTATCTTGTTCAAAGAGTACTTACTTTGTCCAAAAGTGTCCCTGGCGTGGTCTGTTGAGAAAGACAGGACGGGGCCCAGCCGTGAGGGTGAATTTGCTCTTATCTCTTCCGAACCTGTGTCCCGTGCATTGGTCACGTCATGCTTTAGCAATTCTCAACAAAGGCGAAGCCCAACTCCCCGAGGTTAGGAAAGGACAGAAAGTGCAAGCGTTCTGGTACGGCAGGCCACGCAATAGTTAGTCTCCTCAATTCAAGTGTTCAAATCAGGTGATTGCGAGGAGAGAAAATCTGTCTGAAATGACAGCTCAAAAAAGGAAGAGAGCTATCAAGCGTTTACAAACACATTATTAGGTTTCAGAAGTCTCCTATGAGAAATATCAGAATTTTTCACGACTACCGAATATGATATAAAATAAGAGCGATGCGCAACAACAAAAAATTAAAACTTACAAAAAAGCCGCGCTTGTGTAGTGAAAATATTAATAACAGAAGCCAAAAATGTGAAACAATCCAGAACATTACAACAAAATTGTATCATCTGTTGATGAGGCATTCAATTATTTGTATCCTCCAGGATTTAGCATTATTACCCAAACCCACAGAAAAATTTACAACTTCATTGTAGAACCCATGTGGGTTTTGGTGGGTGGGTGGGTGGGGGATAAACAACCAGTCGTGAAGTGAACTTTTGCAAAAGTGAACAACTTGTGTTTCGCGCGCTCATATGACCTTAGCAGTTGCGAGCGCCGTAAAACCTTATACTATACATACTAATATACAAAGCTAGGTGAATCCAGAATCATCTCCTTTTACGGTGTGTTGTCCTATGAACAACACAAGACGAATGAAGGCGTGTGGACATCAATTGAAAATATAGTTGAACCACAATACATGTACTACAATACTATCTGTAGTTATTAGGAGAAAATCTCCTGGTTCTGATACACAGCCCGCAGGAAGGTTGTGCAAAAAACATTATACAGGGCACTGTTGAAGGTACAATGTGGCTGAAAAAAGAAGACAAACAAAGCTTTTTAGACTACATTTTGGTCGGCAAGAGAACCCCTCGACAAGACAGTAGAGGGATATGGAGAAAAATCTCAACATCTTTTGTGCTCAGCTCCCACCCCCCACCCCTTCCCACTCCCCGACAATTCAAATCAAGGGACAAGTGGTGTGTGATGATGATTCCAATGAACCTGGAGTTCAGAAAAAGATGAAACATTAAGAAACGAAAAAAAACAACAACCTCAAAACATAAACTCAAACATAATAAATTTAAAGCAGAAAGACACTGACCTAACCATGTAAAAACCTTCTGTCTTATTCCCCGCTTCTGTGCGTCTAACAAACAAGGGGCAGATTGGTGCAGTTAAGTAACTGCGACAGAGAACATCTCCGCCTTCTCTTACATAACCAAAGTAAAATTGGACTAGATCCTTATCAGTGTCTTTCTGGGCAGCCTTTGTAGACTGACGCCCATTGAAGACACTAGTCAGAGGCGCAGGTAACGTACGGTATATGGCCAAAAATGTATTTAAAAAACAACAACTAACTTTTGCCCGAAAATTGCTCGTTAAAAACGAATAAAGATATTAGACAAGATTCTTCAACGTACATGTCGGATAGGGGAGTTCATGAATAAGCAACTGGCTCAAATAAGTGTATATCAATTCAGTCAAAAAAAGATAGAGTTCTACTCATTACGTTATTTATTGTGTAGCTAGGGAAAGCAAGGAACATAGAAAGTCATGTCATGCAAAGATACTTAATGAAAATTGTTTTATTACTCTTAATTTCTTTGAAGATATTAGAGATATCAATGGTCGTAAAATCTTGAGTGTTGATTCATCACTTTTCTTTTAAAGAAGAGTATACAGTGGCTGAATGCAACTGTTTTAAGACACAATTTTAATCAGTCAACATATTCTCTGCTTTGTTAATAATCCAAGTACCTGCTTTGTGTATCCATATAATGTTGAACAATGTGACGCTTTCTGTAGTCATTAACTGTTCGTTTACACACACACCCATCCATACACACACACACACACACACACACACACACACACACACACACACACACTCACACGCACACACACACACACAAACACACATACACATCCACACACGACCACACACACACACATCCACACACAACCACATACACACACAACCACGACACTTTTATGACCTTAATGTGTTGCAAGTGCCGTAAAACTCTTACTTACTAAAACACACAACCACATAAACCCAAACGTAACCTCCTCCTCTTCCTAGTTTTAAGAAAAAAAAGAGCGATATCAAATCCAGAACAGAATGTAATTTTCTTCTTCTTTTTCTTCTTCTTCTTCTTCTTCTTCTTCTTCTTCTTCTTCTTCTTCTTCTTCTTCTTCTTCTTCTTCTTCTTCTTCTTCTTCTTCTTCTTCTTCTTCTTCTTCTTCTTCTTCTTCTTCTTCTGCTTCTTCTTCTTTTTCTTCTTCTTCTTCTAATTATGTATTATTTTTATCATCATCATCATCATTTTTATTATTATTATTATTATTATTATTATTATTATTATTATTATTATTATTATTATTATTATTATTATCATCATTATTATTATCATTATTATTATTATTATTACTATTATTATTATTATTATTATTATTATTATTATTATTATTATTATTATCATAATCAATTTCATCCTCCTCCTCTGCTCCCCAGATAGCCAGCTGTCAAAATCTACCGACCAGAATGAAGTGGACACCTGTGGTACTGTGCTGCTGGCTCCTGGCCGCGACCGTCACGGCCTACGTGGTGCTCAAGCCTAAGGCCTACGTGCGGCTCAACGACGCTGACGGCAATAAAAGGATCAACTCCTCTACGCTCAACACTCTCGACTTTGACTACGTGACCAACCTGCTCTACGTGCTTGGTATTTGATACAATAAAATAACTGATTTTGTCGGCCTGTAAAAAAAAGCTAAAACAGCGCACTTGGACAATGATGGTTGATGCCTCTAAAAATGCCAATGACAATGCCAATGCCAATGCCAAAGACAATCTTTATTCGTTTCGCATAAATGATTGTTGATGGTCATGGCCTCTAAAATAACTGTTTGGGATAAACTGTTATATTGTATTGTGATATTAACAATCACTCTTTTAAAAGGGGCTAGTGCTGCTGTTTCGGAAAGATTAGGACGGAGTGGGTTATTTAATGTTAGTTATCTCTTGATTGATTTATTAACTTTATCATTTTCTTTAGAGGTGGTTGGGGGGGGGGGGGGTTGTTACGCTTTATACAAAAAATAAAAATAGTTACATTTCTAGAAATTGAACAAAGAACAGTTACGTATGATTTTAATTTAACCCTCTTTTTCTACCGTAAGGGGATTAAAAGTTGAGTTTTTCGAAATCACTTCCAATGTTCTGAAATGATCTAGAAATAATTATGGATATCTGTAATTAGATACACATGTGAGATAGTTTCTTTGGTGTTTTATCTCCTCCTTCTTTTCTTTCCACTTCACTTTTTTAGAAGTTCTTATCAGCATAATCTTTATTCATCATCATCATCATCATCATCATAATCATCATCGTCATCATCATCATCATCATCATCATCATCATCATCATCATCATCATCATCATCGTCATCAAGTGTCATGTCTGCTGTAGACATAGGTGTTCATAGTTCACAACTTATCTCTTAGCTCAGATGTTCTTATATTCCTGTTTACATTTACATAAGATCTGAAATAAATGTTTATTTTATTCCACCTTAACCTCTCTGATCTCCGCCCCTTCACAGCTCACGAACCTGCACGACTCACCGTCTTCTCTCTGTCTCTGGACGGCACACCGACCCAGGTGTTGGAGCACAAGTTCAGCACAGCTCTGGAGGGTTTCCCTCTTGACATCGAGATCTGCCGACCGTTGGTCATTGGAAGCACCCCCCGGGTCGCAATCTCTTTCCAAGACCCGGCCTCCAGGAGTGCAGACGGGAGAGTTGTCTTTTTCCAGCCCCTGTCGTTCAATGACAAAGATCTAGTCGAGATTCAGAGAGTGACAGGTACTTATAATGCTGTGAGTTTCAGAGCAGAGAGCATTTGCATTAAAAAGGTAAACTACTCTTAATGATCAAAATCTATAACCAAGTACAGAAGGAACTTCATGAAACTGCTTCAATTTCTTTAAAATGCTGCTTTTTTTAAGTAGGTGGTTTTACCTCCCCATAGACACAACCAAGCCATTTAAGAGACGGGTTCTGAATCTTTCTATCAGAGCCAACCCAGGTTGAGAAGGATACAATATCCCAACAGAATAACCGATATACTAAATGACAATTTACCCCACTCAGAAAACGAACTCAGGTCTCCTGCGAGGGATAGCAAAGAACCTATCGGCTACTCCACAGACGGCGGCAAACTGCTACAGTTTGTAAACAGTTTTTAGAAAAAGCGGAGAACAAAAACAATAAATGAGCCATTTAAAAGAGTACTTCTTTACGCTATGAGTTCTTATTTGACTAGATAATTTTGGTGTAGCTGGAAAAAAGAAAGTGGCTCATATCGCCCCAAACATTTAATCAATATATTGACAGGTTACGGTTACCTTCTTCTTTTTCTTATTTTGTTTTTTATTTTGCCATTCTATCTTTTTCGTCTTTTTTTTCTTCTTTTTTTTTTCTTTGATAGAATGTCAAAGTAGTTCAGTATATTTTGGGCGCTCCGTTAGCTCAGCT